AACGTGACACTCCGATCCAATAATACCGTGTCGGAACGTGACACTCCGATCCAAAAATACCGTGTCGGAACGTGACACTCTGATCCAAAAATACTGTGTCGAAACGTGACACTCCGATCCAAAAATACCGTGTCGGAACGTGACACTCCGATCCAATAATATTATTAATTTATCATTTATTATCACTACTTTTCAGTTCATTAATAATATTACATCAAGCCCTCTTTATTCAAGGCATAACTTCAATAGAGAGGTTTTTTAGATTATAAATCTCACGGTCTCAGGATTTTAGACCAATCACAAACCACACAACCAAGCCACATAATCACACAGTCAAGTACATAGAGAACTTCACAATATCATTCAATGCATATCAATCGCTATTAAGAGTTTATCTATCAAATAGAACAAACCATAACCTACCTCCACCGAAGAACTGACGTCAGGCAAGCTACTTCTCCAATGCCTTTCCTTTCCTCAATGCCTCCGAACCTTTCCAATCTATCAAGTATATATGCATAATTTGTAAGTTAACAAGCCTATAAACACTCATATTATTCTATGTCCCTCCTATACCCAAAAACTCACCTAATTCTATAATCAACTTCCTAAAGTTCAAACCTAAGGGTAAGTCTTAATTCCTCCCATTAGCATAACTTTAATGTAATTCATATAATATACTACACCTTATATTTAATTACCTCTATCTCAATCTATCAAATTTTAGTTTATAATATGGTAAAACTGAAACCACTGATCACGATACCAGTGGCAGCCAACTCATAAAGCCACAAAATAAACTAACCAATGAAAACTAATGTAACACGGAAACCCATGAAACCCATTCCAAAATATGGACATAACAGTGATAATTTAATTCCATAAAACTTCCATCTGCAATCCACTCTTCAACTCAATAAACAATAGTTTACCACTTATTGTTTTAGTACTTCACAATAGTTTAATCAACCCAACCAAAGTTTGTCCCTTAAATTTAAGAACTAACATCTAAACTTCAAGGAAATTCAATCATATATTTAGAATATAAAATGACCCATCTTATCATTATTATGATCCCTAAGGCAATTTTCCTAACTCAATTAAATAATCTCATTGGAAATCAGCCAATCCGTGGGAGACAAATTTGTCTCTCACAATCTCACACTCAACGCCATTAACCACCAAAATTCAACCTAACACTACTGCTGAAACCTCGTTCTTTTCAATTTCCCGTCTAATAGCAATAATATAATAATAATCATAAAGCCTTTGTTCATATTCACAAAATACATATTGGATTTTGGATTTACCTGAAGTACTCGTCGGCCTCTCTGCAATTTGTATTGCTGTAGTTGAAGTTCTGTTGAGTTTCTAACTCACGATGGAAATCCCTAATTATTATTAATCCTAATTATGGGGTGGTAGAAGTGGCCCACTATTTGTTTTAATGCTATCTTCTATAACCACCAACTAACTTAATTATAAAAACTACCCCACTAATTTCATAATTGTAGTTACGAATTCCAAAACACTCATTTAAAATCTATCGGAAGAGTATTTTATACAATAAAAAGCTCTTGTACTCAAAATGACCAAATGAGTCGTTACAAAAATTTAGTCCACCTAATACAATTGGTAGCACAATTCAACTCAAACACACCTAATACATGGATAACTTAATACACCATATGTGGTCTTATCTAATACCAAGAATATCTAGGGATTACTAATCCCAGGTTTAGTAATACTTGGATAAGGAAACAAAATGACTGAATTGCCCTTCAATTTCTTTATACAACCTTTACAATTGGTAAAAGAAATTCACGTTCTGCTCTTTGGTGACTTCATTGTTTTCATCAAAGTGATACAATTTTTTTTGGACAAGAAAAAATATGTATAGGCTTTTTAGTTAAAATATCTGACCTTCTGAAATTTTCTTTGTTTGATTGGAAAACTGTACAATCCACCAGCCATTTTCTCGTCCTTAAAACTCCCTCTCATAAATTCCAAAGCACAACATTTTGTAACCGTAAAACAAACTCAAAACATTTTCTCCTCTCTCATCTTGTAACACTGCTACTATTTGATCTGCATTACTGCTATTTCCTCACAAATTGAGTCATTAAAATCAATAAAGTTTTGATCTTTGAGCAAGTTCTTTAGTTTTATTTTATTTTAATATTAGTAGGTAAGAAGATTACATGAGAAAGCAAAGTAGATCTTGTTGGCTACTGTTTTTCCTGTTTTGTTAAGAGAAAAGGGAGGTAAGGATTGGATCGTGAATGTAACACCCCGTATGCTAGAAAAACCAGCTTGCAGAAATCAGAAGTTGCAGAAGACACCGACTAGCACCACCCACGGAGCGTAGGGTGACCCACGGACCGTAGGTCAGACCATGGGCCGTTGTCCTGGTCCTGGTCCGTGGATCGAGACCCCCCAGAACCTAGTCCCTGAAGCCAAACGACGGTTGATCAGGACGGACCATGGGTCAGTCCACAAACCGTCGGTGGCCTCGATAGCTTTTAAGTCAAGAGTCGTTTGGTCTTTTCCCTATGCTTTAGACCCCTAAACTACGTCGTTTTGGGCAGTTTTAGCCTAGTAACTTAATTAGAACTTACCCTAGTCAACTCATTTTTCAAAAATTTATCAAGTTGAATGGAAAGAAGGAAAAAGAGTCGACCAAGCCCTAGTCCAAGAACGCAACAAGTTTTCTTCAGTTCCAGCCTCGAAATGGAAATATTTCTCTGTGAAATTTGTCACCAGGTATATGGAATTTCACTAGTGGGATCCTTTCATCCATTAGGTCCCTAGAATTCAGTCATACTCGACCTAGGGTTTCTAGAATTTCATATTTATGTTATGATTCAGTTGGTAGACTAATCCAAGTCAGATTATCATGTTTTTGAGGAATTGTTGCTTAGCTTCTTTCATGAAACTCAGAATCCTAGTTGTGTAGATTCGTTTAGTTCATGAATTACACTTGCTAGGTCAATTTATTCAGTTGTACATGCCCAATTAATAATGTTTCATTATCAGTATATTAATGTTGCATATTCAGTTAGCATGTCAGTATCTTGAGCTATCCACTATTACAGATATTCAGTCATAATGTGCTAATTACATAACCAGTTGGGAGTAGGCTTAATACCGAGTAGACTAAGGGTTAGTCACCCTTATAGTCCCAAAACTACGTGTCCCATAGGTAAGTCCCCTCTGTGGGCATTATACTTAGTGATCACGCCAGTCATGCCTCTATATCCTTGGCAAGGTATTTTGGGTCCTCTCGATGAGGCATATACATCGAACTCCACATTTAGCTCATGTGGTTTTATGTCGGTTATTAGTAGCTCCCACAGACAGATTCTAGTGTATTGACCAAGTTATCAGTTATAGTTCAGTATTCGGTCTCAATATGTTACAAACTTGGTCACTACATTCAGTTAGTTCATATTCAGCATGTTTAGCATATTTATCATGTTCAGATTATATCATTGCTATATCTCTTTGTTCAGTTATACGTTTTATTCAACTTTATTCTATCATGCATGCTCAGTACCTTTCAAGTATTGACATATACTCTGCGTTACATCTTCTCGTGATGTAGGTTCAGGCCCTCAGCATTCAGATCACGCATAGATCAGTTCCCGATCTCCAGTTCAACAACATTAGTGGTGAGTCCTCATTCTTCGAGAATGAGTGACATGTTATCTTTCCATTTTCAGTCTTTAATTTCAGTTTTGCTAGAGTTAGCTGGGGACATGTCTCAGCATCTCTAGTCAGTAGAGGCTTTTTTTAAACATAGTACTAGATTCAATTTTAGTTTTGAGTTTGATCCCCAGTTATTATTAAACTCACAGTCTTTTGATATATTCAGATCAGTATTGGGTATTACCTACTTTAAGTTATCTACTGTTTTAAGCTTCCGCATAGTATCTCTTTATTCTGTTGTTGTAGTATGCTTATGATATTCCAGCTTCAGGGTTAGCTTGGGGTCACTCGTGATCCTAGGTCCCGTGTTACGTCAAGGGGGAAACCTCGGGGCGTGACAAATTTAGTATCAGATCATTAGGCTTAAGTGTCTTAGGATGTCTAAAAAGCCGCACTAAGTAGAGTCCTTTTCATGGGTGTGAAGTGCACCACATCCAATGAGAGGGAGGCTACGAAGTGTTTTAGGAAAACTTCACTTTCTTGATATTCTTATCGTGCGTTGGTATGATCTCTCTTTCTAATCCATCATTATGCATTTTCAGATCATGCCTCCTCGTAGAGCTTACGAAAGGAATGTGAATGCCTGCAAAGCTAACACAACTCCTCTAGTCCCAGATCAGGAAGTTTCGGAATGCCATTCAGCTTTTGGCTCAGAGTGTGACCAACCAGAACAATCAGCAGGCCCCAGTTCCTACTAACACTAATGTTGGGTCGGCTGCAACTAGAGTTTGAGATTTTGTTAGGATGAATCCACTTGAGTTTCTAGGGTCGCAGGTTGGTGAGGATCCCCAGAACTCCATTGATGAGGTTAGGAAAATCTTTGAAGTAATGCAAGTGACTAGTAAAGATAAGTTAGAGTTGGCATCCTACCAGCTTAAGGATGTAACTCACATCTGGTTTACTCAATGGAAAGAAAATAGGGGTACGGATGCAGTTCCTTTCACTTGGGGAGTGTTTTAGTGAGACTTTTCTGGACAGGTTCTTCTCAAGAGGGTTGAGGGAGGTAAAAGCTTATGAGTTCATGAATTTGAGGCAAGGTAGCATATCAGTCCAAGAGTACGGACTCAAGTTCACCCAACTCTCCAGGTGTGCTCCTCACATGGTTGTTGATCCAAAGGCACAAATGAATAAGTTTATGTATGGGGTGTCCGACTTAGTGAAAATAGAGTGCAGAAATGCTATGTTGCTGGAAAATATGAATATCTCTAAGCTTATGACCTATGCTCAGTAGGTTGAGTGAGATAAGCTTAGGGAACATGCTGAGGATAATAAGAAGGATAGGACAGACAACTATGAGTATTCTCAGCAGAAATCGGGTGGTGGAAATTGCTCTCAGTTCCAGCAGAAATTTTCAGTTCCAGCACCATCATCAGCTAGTGCTCCATCCTCCAGGTTTCGACATGATCAGAAAGGTAGGGCATCATGCTTTAAGTCGCAGGGGAGTATTTCAGGTAATATGACCTACCTAACTTGTCCTAAGTGTGGTAAGAACCATCCGATCGAGTGTCTTACATGAAAGGAAGGATGTTTTGGGTGTGTCAAACTGATAACAGGTTGAAGATTGTCCTTCTTCTAAACAGAGTTAGGGAGGTAACAATAGTAGGGCTCAGTCTACAGCTCTTGTAGCACCAGCAGATCACCCAACTCAACAGGGTGTTTCGTCTGGTACAGGTGGCGGTCAGCGCCAGAACAAGTTGTATGCTCTCTAGCCTCTCCAGGATCAGGAAGATTCTGCTAATGTGATTACTGGTACGTTGCGAGTCTTTCATTTAGATGTTTATGCTTTGTTAGATCTAGGGGCTGCTCTTTCATTTGTAACTCCCTATATAGCAGTAAACTTCTATGTTAGTCCAAAAACTCTTTCAGAACCCTTCTCAGTCTCTACTCCAGTTGGTGACCCAATTATAGCTAGATGGGTATATAGAAATTGCCCTGAAAGTCACCTTAGCAGATCTTGTAGAGTTAGAAATGGTAGACTTCGATATCATTCTAGGCATGGATTGGTTACATTCCTATTATTAGTCAATTGTAAAACTAGGATAGTTCGTTTTAAGTTTCTAGATGAACCAATCTTAGAATGGAAGGGTAGTAGCTCAGTGCCTATGGGTCATTCATTTCTTACCTTAAGGCCAAGAAGATGATTTTTAAGGGTTGTCTCTATCATCTAGTTCGGGTTAAGGATTCTAGCTCAGAAACCCCAACTCTTGAGTCAGTTCCAATAGTTAATGAGTTTCCAGAAGATCTTCCCAGAGTTCCTCCCGAAAGGGAAATCGACTTCAGAATTGATCTCCTTCCAGATACCCAGCCTATTTTTATTCCTCCTTACAGAATGGCTCCAGCTGAGCTTAAGGAATTGAAAGAGCAGTTAAAAAACCTTCTAGATAAGGGCTTCAACAGACCTAGTATTTCCCTATGGGGTGTATCGGTGTTGTTCGTGAAAAAGAAAGATGGTTCTCTCAGGATGTGCATTGACTATCGACAGTTGAACAAAGTCACAATCAAGAATAAGTACCCTATCCCCAGGATTGATGACTTGTTTGACCAACTTCAGGGTGCTAATCATTTTTCAAAGATAGACCTCAAATTCAATTATCATCATCTCAGAGTCAGATATAGTGACATTTCAAAAACAACCTTCAGAACTCGGTATGGTCATTATGAATTTGTAGTTATGTCATTTGGACTAACCAATGCTCCTGCAGCTTTCATGGATTTGATGAACAGGGTGTTCAAGCAATATTTGGACTTGTTCGTTATAGTCTTTATTGATGATATCCTCATTTACTCTAGGAATGAGGAAGAATATGCGACTCATTTGAGGGTTGTCCTGCAAACTCTCAAAGATTGTCAGTTATTCGCTAAGTTTAGCAAATGTGAGTTTTGGTTGCAATCCGTTGCCTTCCTTGGGCATATTGTGTCTAGTGAAGGGATCCGAGTGGATTCTCAAAAAATAGTAGCAGTGAAACAATCGACCAGACCTACCTCTCCTTCAGATATCAGAAGTTTCTTGGGTTTGGTAGGTTATTACAGAAGGTTTGCGGAAGGATTTTTATCCATAGCTTCTCCATTGACTAAGTTGACTCAGAAAAAGGTTAATTTTCAGTGGTTAGATGAATGTGAGAAGAGTTTCGCAGAACTGAAAACTAGGTTGACTACAACTCCTATTTTGACTCTACCAGAGGGTTCAGACGGTTCTGTGATCTATTGTGATGCATCCAGAGTCGGCCTAGGTTGTGTATTGATGCAACGATGTAAGGTTATAGCTTATGCTTCTAAAAAACTTAAGGTGCATAAGAAGAACTATCCGACTCATGACCTCGAGCTTGCAGCTGTAGTATTTTCCCTTAAGATTTGGAGACACTACTTGTATGGTGTCCACGTAGATGTATTCACAGACCATAAGAGCCTTCAATATGTGTTCACCTAGAAAGAGTTGAATCTTCACTAGAGGAGATGGCTTGAATTCCTCAAGGACTATGATATGAATGTACTTTACCATCCAGGTAAGGCCAATGCAGTAGAAGATGCTCTTAGCAGACTATCTATGGGTAGTGTAGTGCATGTTGAGGAAGAAAGGAAAGAACTAGAAAAAGATGTTCACCGGCTTGCTCGTTTGGGAGTTTGCCTTATGAGCATATCAGATAATGGTGTAATAGTTCAGAATGGGTCAAAATCTTCATTGGTAGTGGAGGTTAAGGAAAAGCTAGTGATCCAATATTACTTCAACTAAATGGTGCAATCCATCAATAGAGGGTTGAGGTTTTCCCCAAAGGGAGATGGCGTGCTTCACTATCAGGGTCATTTATGTGTTCCTAAGATGGGTGAGTTGAGGCTGCAAATTCTTGAAGAAGCCCATAACTCCAGGTATTCTATTCATCCAGGCGCCAATAAGATGTACCATGATATGCGGGAAGTCTTTTGGTGGAATGGCATGAAAAGGGATATCGCAGATTTTGTGGCTAAATTCCCTAATTGTCAACAAGTGAAGGTAGAACATCAGAAACCAGGGGGTATGACTCAAGAGATCAACATTCCTACTTGGAAGTGGGAAGTGATCAACATGGACTTCATTATAGGGTTACCTCCTACTCGTAGACAACATAACTCCATTTGGGTGATAGTTGACAGAGTCACTAAGTCTGCGCACTTTTTGGCTTTTAAGACTACAGATTCAGCGGAGGACTACGCCAAGCTTTACATTAATAAGATAGTCAGGTTACATGGAGTTACTTTGTCTATCATCTCAGATAGAGGTCCTCAGTTTACCTCTCATTTCTGGAAGTCATTTCAGGAAGGTCTTGGTACTCAGGTTAATCTTAGCACAACATTTCATACATAGACGGATGGTCAGGCAGAGCGTACCATTCAGACCTTAGAGGACATGTTGAGAGCTTGTGTGATCAACTTCAAGGGTAGTTGGGATGATCACCTTCCTCTTATAGAGTTTGCCTACAATAATAGCTACCACTCCAGTATTTAGATGGCCCCTTATGAGGCATTATATGGGAGTAGATGTAGATCTCCAATTACTTGGTTTGAAGTAGGTGAAGCAGCCCTGATAGGGCCAGATTCGGTTCATGATGCTATGGAAAAAGTTCAGCTCATTAGAGATAGAGTTAAGACAGCCTAGAGTCTCCAGAAGTCTTATGCATATGTAAGGAGAAGGGACTTGGAGTTCCAAAGTGATAATTGGGTTTTCCTGAAAGTATCACCTACGAAAGGGGTGATGAGATTTGGCAAGAAAGGGAAGCTCAGTCCTAGATATGTAGGCCCTTACATGATTTTGAAAAGAGTTGGTAAAGTGGCTTATGAGTTAGAGTTGCCAGAAGAACTAGCAGTAGTGCATCCGGTATTTCACATTTCGTTGTTAAAGAAGTGTGTGAGTGATCCAACATATATAGTACCTTTGGAAAGTGTGGCTGTGAAAGATAGTCTCACTTATGAGTATGTGCCAGTTGAGATTCTTGATCGTCAGGTTCGAATTGAGAAACAAAGAAGTCGCTTCAGTGAAGGTTTTTTGGAGGAGTCAATCCGTAGAGGGAGCTACTTGGGAAGCAGAAGAAACCATGAAGGCCAAGTATCCTCATCTCTTTCTTTTCGATTCCATTCCAGCTTGAGGTAATAGTTCCTCTCAAGTCTTTCAAGTATTCAGGTGTAAATTCAGTCTTAGTATCATGTTCCTTCAGCTATACTTGCATTTTCAGCGTATTTGCATGTCCTTGGAACTTAGTTCAGTCAGATTTCAGTACTTAGTGGTAGGATTTACAGCTTGTTCCCTTCATTTTTCAGCTAGTTTAGTCTTTATTCGAGGATGAATGTTCCCAAGGGGGAGATAATGTAACACCCTGTATGCTAGAAAGACCAGTTTACAGAAATCAAAAGTTGCAGGTGCCACCGACGGGCACCACCCATGGACCGTAGGTGGGGTTCCGTGGATGGCCACCTGCAACCCTTCCCAGAAAACTCAGACAAAATATTCTAAGGCACGATCCACGACCGAACCCATGAACCATAGGTCAGACCATGGGCCATGGTCCTGGTCCATGGATCGAAACCCCATAACCTAGTCTCTGAAGCCAAACGACGGTTGACCAGGACAGATTGGGTCAGTCCACGGACCGTCGGTGGCCCCGACAACTTTTAAGTCAGGGGTCGTTTGGTCTTTTCTCTATGCGTTGGACCCCTAAACTACGTCGTTTTGGGTAGTTTTAGCCTAGTAACTTAATTAGAACTTACCCTGGTCAAATCATTCTCTAAAAAATCATCAAGTTGAACGAAAAAAAGGAGAAAGAGTCGACCAATTTTTCTTCAGTTCCAGCCCCGGAATCGAAAGATTTCTTTGTGAATTTTGTCATCAGGTATGTGGGATTTCACTAGTAGGTTCCTTTCACCTATTAGGTCCCTAGAATTCAGTCAGATTCTTGATTCTTTACATCATGCTTAGACCTAGGGTTTCTAGAATTTTAGATTTATGTTATGATTCAATTGGTAGACTAATCCAAGTTAGATTATCATGTTTTTGAGGAATTGTTGCTTAACTTCTTTTATGAAACTCAGAACCCTAGTTGTGTAGATTCGTTTAGTTCATGAATTACATTTGCTAGGTCAGTTTATTCAGTTGTACATGCCCAATTAAGAATGTTTCATTATCAGTATATTAATGTTGCATGTTAACATGTTAGTATCTTGAGTTATTTAGTATTACAAATATTCAGTCATAATTTGTTAATTACATAATCAGTTGGGAGTAGGCTTAATATCGAGTGGACTAAGGGTCAGTCATCCTCATAATCCCAGAACTACGTGCCCCGTAGGTAAGTCCCCTCTGTGGGCATTATACTTAGTGATCACGCCAGTCATGCCTCTATATCCTTGGCAAGGTATTTTGGGTCCTCTCGATGAGGCATATACATCGAACTCCACATTTAGCTCATGTAGTTTTATGTCGGTTATTAGTAGCTCCCACAGACAGATTCTAGTGTATTGACTAGGTTATCAGTTACAGTTTAATATTCATTCTCAGTATGTTATAAACTTGGTCACTACATTTAGTTAGTTCATATTTCAACATGTTTAGCATATTTATCATGTTCAGATTATATCATTGCTATATTGCTTTGTTTAGTTATATGTTTTATTCAGCTTTTTCTATCCTGAATGCTTAGTACCTTTCAAGTACTGACGCATACTCTGCGCTACCTCTTCTCATGATGTAGGTTCAGGTCTTCAGCATTCAGATCACGCATAGATCCGTTCCCGATCTCCAGTTCAGTAGCATCAGTGGTAAGTCCTCTTTCTTCGAGGACGAGTGACATGTTATCTTTCCATTTTCAGTCTTTAGTTTCAGTTTTGTTAAAGTTAGCTTCAACATCTCTAGTCAGTAGAGGCTTTTTTTTCAGACATAGTACTAGATTCAGTTTTAGTTTTGAGTTTGATCCTCCAGTTGTTATTAAACTTATAGACTTTTGTTATATTCAGATCAGTATTGGGTATTCCCCACTTTAAGTTATCTACTGTTTTGATCTTCTGCATAGTATCTCTTTATTCTGTTGTTGTAGTATGCTTATGATATGCCAGCTTCAGGGTTAGCTTGGGGTCAATCGTGATCCTAGGTCCCGTGTTACGTCAAGGGGAAGTCTCGGGGCGTGACAGTGAACTTCGTGTTCAAGTTTTAAACTGCAATAAATATGGTAATTACATGAAATAGAGAACATAATAATTCAAGGGTAAGATTGAAAAAAAATAATTTGTAGAGTTTTAAACCAAACATAAGATTAGGTGAGACACGATGACCAAACACTTGATTAAAAATATTTTTTGTATTACTAATCCCTAATTTGTTAATCCTGCGTTTGCTAATCCCTGCGTTGCTAATCCCATGCGTTGCTAATCTTTGTACCAAACGACCCCTAAATGTTTAGTATATGAGTATTACTATGAACTGTTAGAGTGTATACTTTGATACTGATATTGATATTGGTTGAGTGACTCGATTGATGAGTGTGTATTATAATGTTTGAAGTGTAATTATAGTAAGATGTACATGGAGGAAATCATAAATATACTAAAAAATTTGAAAATATAGAACTTTATAAACTTTTTACATAAGTTTAATAAGATAGTTATGTACATGTTTTTACATGATAAGAACGTGTTGGGCATCGTGTTAAAGGTTAGTTAAGGTGTATTGTTGATTGTTCCATTAAAATATGTTACATGAGGCACATGAGATAATGTATTAGCATTCAAAGAATGAAATATTCAACAAAGTAGTTAAAATCATATATAAAAATAGAGCAGGGTAACTGAAAAATACGTCATAACAATTTAGAAAGCGAATAAAAATAATAAAACAGTAACATTGATTCTTACTGTTCATTACAAATTAACAAAGCATCACAAAAACAAATAAAGAATACAATAACAAAGCATCACATATCTTATTTCTATGCTTAATAGAATAGCTTTGCATCAGAAGCAAAGGGAAACTGTCAAGAGCAATACTTAACTAATAACGTTTTGTTATTCTTCATCCAAAAAAAATTAGGGAATTCTATTCTTGTGCTGCCAAAAGAAAGGGAAAATAAATGTCAATTATCTATTTTCCTTGTCAAGCGTTTTGCTTGTGATTAGAAAATTAAAGCTGCATGTTTTTTGGGCTATCCAATCTATAATTTTTGTACATTTGTTCATCTTTTCACCTTAAATTTGCAAATGTAACAAAGACCCAAAAATAAGAAATTATCTATGTACTTTTGTTAGAGGGAAAAATAATCAAATTGAGACCTTTTCCATTAGAAATTCTCGAATATGGAGTGATCAAACCCCAAAGTAAAACTCAAAAAATAGAACTCTATGGTTAAAAAACGAAAGTTACAAGTTTCTGGGTTATCAGATCTGTAACTTTTCTACATTTGTGTATCTTCTCACCTCAAATTTGAGGAACCAACAAAGACCTTTAAGAAATTCTCAATCTACTCTAATTAGAGACACAATAATCAAATTGAAGGTTCTTCCATAGGAATTTTCGAAGATCTAGATGAATCCCAAAAAAAAAACTCAAAAAATAGAACCTAATAACATAAGATTTGGCATAATCTTTTGGCAAAAAAACATACCTTGATAGAACTATACTACCGCCGAGAGAGTAAGGGAGTTCTAGCTTACACGGACACACACAAAAGAGAAAACAGAGAGAATAGATAGAAATCTGAATGCTACGTGTTTATTTCACAGATGCTACGTGTAAGCTTTACAATTGGAGTAGGACACGTAACATAAAGATGAAACAATGAAACATATTAGATTAATGGCAAATGATTGAAGTACCCTTATTTTCAAATTAAATAACAAATAGTAGACATGTTGAAAATGTCTCTTCTAATATATAGAAATATATAATATAATATATATATAATTTTTTTTTTTGGATAAGCAGGTAATAAGAATATGATATACTCAAACTGGTGGCTACAATTGCTTCTGTAAAGCTACACAAATCTTGACAACAAATAAACGAATAGAATCTTGATCTGAATAGAACTAGAATCCATCTTAATCACAATGATTTAAGTTGAAAAAAATATAAAATATGGCTCAACACGGAGTACCAACTATTGACCACTAGTATATACTTCCTATTGTGAATCATATGAGAGTAATTCTTAAATAAAGAACAATGCACATTAAAATTGATCAGGTTTTATGTACTTCTTTACAAATTAGAGATACAAGGAAAATTGAAGATTAGTTCCCTCTAAAAACGCTTATATTCACTCAAAACTCAACATTAATATGCTTCTCTGACCTTTTATATAGAGGGGTAAGAAATATGAACCGAGTGTTTATATGCAATTTACTCTTAACCAAATATTCTAACTTAGCAAGACTTTTACCTTTTTACATCTTTATTCACTATCTAACAAGGAGGGTTACAGAAACATCACAATCATAAATATGAGTTCCATAACCCTTTATTTTATCTTAAATTCATTCATATTAAAAATAAATTTGTGATTAACTTCATCCATATTAATTCCTATTCACAGAGATAGGAACAAGATAGCAATAGATTGGACATGATGGTTCAAGGTGGTCTCTTCAAGGGTATACCCATTAGAAAGTGACTAACTTCATTTATCTTTCAAATAACCTAGAGAGCTCAATACTCACGTGAATTGGAATAAGATAGAAATTGTAACATGTCGGATTTGAAAAGGGAAGATGTCAACTTTTTAGTTACACTACAAAAAAATACCTGAATTCTAGGGGTTTAATAGCGGAGGCCAGCTACACCCCCACAAATCGCATTAAATATCAGGGTTTTTGTAGTTGACAGAAAATAAAAATAAATAGCGGGGGTTTAAAACTTCTGCCATCTGAAAAAAGAAAATGTAAGTAAATAGCAAAAATTTTAAACCTCCCCATCTGAAAATATAATTTTTTATTACAAACTACAAAATCGACATCTATATTTTTATGCTAATGTTTTTACTCATTTTTCATTTCCAAAATATAAATCACTCTCAACTATTTTTAATTCAAAAATATACAAAACACAAAAAGAAATCATTTTGGGAAACTTCACCAGCTCCCTCACTTCTCCTCTACATTTCTCTCATCGGTTCATCACCATTTCTCCGCCATTTCTCCACCACTTCTTCAACTATCTAAACTTCATCTACTTTACGAGATTCGGAATCGAGATAGCCATTTTAAGGTTAAAAAAATCACTTCTCTCCCCTTTTTTATTTTCCTTATCTCAATCTTCACAAATCAGAAAGTTTTCTACAAATTTCTGATTGTATTCTCTAGGTAAGTTCAATAGTTTGTTGTTTGTATAGATGTATGGAGGTATAATTAGATTAATTGTACTTTCGTGGATGAAGAATTCGAAATTATCAAATTTGCCAAATAATGAACTGCATTAGCCTACTCTTTTTGTGTATTTTGTGGTAGAATTAGGTTTATTTGGTTGTACTTTTAGTGGTTTAGTTTTCTGCTAGTATTTGTGGTAGAATTAGCTCTTTTTCCCCAGAGCACTGTTCATTTGTGGTAAATTTTATTGGTCACGGGTTCGATTGGCGGAATTAATGGCTAATGCTTAAGCCAGGATAGATTGCTTACATTACACCCCTTGGTGTACAGTTCTTCATGGACTCCCTCGACATAAGAGAAGTTTGTAGTATAATGTAAAAATTGCTTAAAATTTGTGTTAAGTTAGATTCTTTGGCCCAAAAAACAAATTTTCTTTTGTTGTTTGACTTTGTAATGCGTCGAATGAGTAATCCTGTTATGAATTACATTATATTGTCACAGGGAATGGGTAGACCAGTATGGAAATTGTCTCTGTATACTGTATTCGTAGGAGTCAGACCTTCAGTGGTACCAAAACTCGTTAAAACTTATATACTACTTTGATTTTGTAACTATGAACATCTTATCGTTTTGCTTCGCACGTGCAGTGTTTACCTATAGCCATTGATGTGGGAACAAATAATGAGCAACTATTGAAAGACGAGTTCTACATTGGACTCAGACAAAAAAAAGCGACGAAAAAGAGCTACTGGCGAGGTCAATTTTATAATAGCATAACTCTATATCGTACTTGTTGTAAATATAAATTGAGATTTACAGCTTGTTCTTAAGACATGTCTGTTTCTTTTTTGCTTCTTGTAGGAATACTTTAACTTTCTTGATGAATTCATGAAGGTTGTGAAGCAAAACTACAGCGAAAAAGTTCTTGTACATGTTAGTAATTTGAAACTTGTTAAGGACCAAATCACCTTTCATGTAACGTCTAAGTCTAATATTTGTAACGTCATCTGCAATATGAAGATTTTGCGAATCACAACGCTTTTGAGCTGTTGGTGAACTATGGTACCACACATTTGGTATTCAATGATGATATGCAAGTATGCTGCATTTGTTTTGGCCTATATCACCGAACATTTGTGTTTGTTCAAGTTTCTGATCCCATTAATGTTGCAAGGGACAACTGTTGTGGTACTTGCGGGGCTTGTTGCATCTCTTAAGTTGCTTGGAGGTTCCTTAGTTGAGCATACATTCTTGTTCTTTGGTGCTGGAGAAGTAAGTCTAGATTTTCTTTTAAAGAGTCAAGTTTTTAATCGTTTCGGTAGACGAGCTATGTCTAACAACATGTAAGAAAGGATACAAATGGTAGCAATGAGTTGATATTATGGGAATTCAAGAAATAAGAAGAGGATGGATGGATCCAAGAAAGAATTAGAGGTATATAACAAGAAAGAATTAGGTCAGGTTTATTATAGGTATGAAAAAGAAGAATGTGAAAGAGGCAATTCATGTTGGAATTTGAGTTGCCACATAGGTTGTTTGTTTAAAGAAGAATATATAATGCTCCATTTACATGTATGTTCCTGCCAATTACCCTAAGTTACAAAGGGTATGTTATATCATATTCATATATGTGTAGATCTATTTGCCCAGATTATTTATTTTATATATGTAGGGGACTAACAGTTGATTATATTATATAGGAGTTGAAGTTTCAAATGGTAGAATTATTCCCCAAAGGAAGTTGTGTTTTCCAAGGCAGAAATGGAGTGTATCAATAAGGTACATAATTGCAGCCTCGTCACTACAATGTGAAATCGATGGTTTATGGATGACACAACTCAACACATTCTATCAATTTTCTCGCCCACACACTATATTTGGAACTGAGAGTAAATTCTTTCAGTTATTTCCATTTTCATTGTTGCTACTCATCCATCCTCTTCTTATTTCTTTAATTCCCATTTGTAGCATCCATCCTCTTCTTATTTCTTGAATTCCCATTTTCATTGTTGCTACGTCTAACATTCATGACGCGATTTACATTTGGAGGAGATATTATGCTTCTGAAATCATATAATCTTTTTTCCTTTACTCGTGTCGATAGCAGATATGGATGGATTGTTTTCATTAAAACATATTGAAACAATCTTAAAGTCATTGCATTGTGCTTCATATCGATCTCTCCGTGATCACAGGCTGGAACTGGTATATTAGAACTCATAGCACTTGCAATTTCAGAGAAGGTAAAAAATTTAGGTTGCCAATGGTTTTTCAAAGTCGTATTCTCGTTTAGTATGTTTGATCACTTGATAAATTATGTTTGTTATCTGTAGACAAATGCCCCTGTGGAGGAAGCGCGTAAATAACTACTGATCTCGCACTTTACTTGAATATGTGATGCCTAACCATGGGGAGCTAGCTACAACGTCATTACCCAGATTGGTTAGCTCTAACAATTAAGTCTAACTTGATTTGGTGAGCTTTATTCTAATCTTTCTGTTTCTGGATAATATAGATCTTTTTTAGTAACCTCTGGTAAACTTGGAGCTCTAGCTTCTTTAGGACAAGATAAATGCCAGACCTTAAAAATTGGACTTCATGTTCTTGCAGAGCATGTCGAAGAGGTCGTACATCCCCCCTTCTAAGAGCAAGCACAATGTTGTTATACTCAGTCAAATTGTACTTCTTCTAGCAGTAAAAATTCTCCCAGGCACTCCTACCGAGGTAAGCCTCTAGCTGTCCCTTCTGGGTCCTAGAATCCCTTTCTGGTGATCTTCCATTGCCGGAAACATACCCGCGCCTTCTTTCCCTTCTTTCTCCTCTTCTTTCTTCTTCTACCTCTTCTTATTCAAGCCTTACTTCCTTTTTCTCTCTTTGCAACTATGGGGGATGATACAATTTTCTTTGTTGTTGGTTTCAAATCGTACGACATTACCAGGGTGGTATCCAGAGCTGAAAACTTAGTACGACTGGGTAGAGAGAGAGGCCGCAAGATGATGACGAGGATGACTATTAGCCAGAAGACGATGGAGTGGTTAGCCTACACCCTCAAGGAAGCTTCAAAAAGCCATGGAAACACTATACGCAGATGGAAACGTTAGGACCACTTTACTGAGCTTTTCTGGGCTACGAACTACAACAAATTTGGTCGATATATTAGTATTATAAAGGTGCAGGACAAGAAAAGAGATGTCATCATCATACCTGAGTGGTCTTTAAACTCTGGATGGATGGACATAGCTACCAAAATATTAGTCTTCATAAATGCTAGGGCCCAATTGATAGGTAAAACATCACATAGGAAAACTGAGAAGGGTTTATTATATTCAGACATTGTTAGGAACAATAAATGGTCTACAAGGCAATTAAATGGTGCAAGGATTCAACAAAAAGGGAATTCACTCATTATATCAGATGCAATCTCAACAACTCAGAACGAGTCGCTAGCAAAGAGTGTTGTCGGATCCCTACCGGAGGAAATCCTAGGCATCACTTTATCAGAGATTTGACGATGGGTCACAAGCACTTGGAGGCACAATCATGGAATCAATATCTTCGATCTAAGGGGAATCGATTTCTCTTCGAATTCCCTAATAGAACAGCTATTGATCACATAGTAAGGGGGACTAGTTCTGGAGATCTTACAAATTCAGCCTTCAATGGTGGTCACCAACCTCAAATGCCATTTTTGAGAGACCGAATCAAGTCTGGATAAGAGTAGTGGGACTCCCTCTCCATTTGTGGTCCCATAAAGTTTTCCGTGAGATAAAAAATCTCTTTGGAGGCTGGATCCTTACGGAAGGAGAGACAGAATTACGCAATCACCTCAAATGGGCAAGGCTGAAGGTGCTAGGAGATGGCGAGTCGATTCCGAGCACAGTGGAGCTGACCTACGAAGATTTGACATTCAAAGTGCAAATATGGGTGGAGACATCGGCTAGAGTGATCTCCGATGAACGGAGAGGAATACCCATTAATACCCAACGGTCTGAAGAAGTGTCCAGTCAAAAGGGGGAAGACATCCTTTTAGGGTTTACAGAAGTGACTAGCCACGTGGGGTCCTCGTATGATCTAGAAATTTCAAAATGGCTAGCTGGCCCAGCATGTGATATCACATGTAAACCAAGGGCACACTACTCTATTCTTCCTAAAAATCAATCTTAGTAAATAAGGGGTAATAATTGGGCCTAGATATTCGGGCCCAATCCATTTCAAATGGGCTGCCTGCAGAAATCTCTTTCTCTCTTTTGTTGGACCCAATTGTGGTGGAATTAGAGGCTAACTTAATTACCTCTTCCTCCACTACTCCACATCAGGCAAAAGAGCTCGTAATAGCGCATGGGTTATCTTTGAGAGAGGAAGAAATTTTAAAGGAGAAAAGAGGTGTAGAAACAACGATGGGGAATATTGTAGATACCTCTGAGATTCTCTGGCAGCAGGCCAGCACATGCATACAAGGAAACAACCCTCAATGCACTTAAGTAGTCAGTACCTATTTGACTATGTTTGAAGAAGCCGTACCGCTAAATCAACTCAGCCCAGAAGAAAGGGATGATCTGGAATTTGATGTCCCTATTTGGATCCACCAGAACATAAATAAACTGGCCAAGGAATTTGGAGTGGAAATCAATGGGTGTAAAGATGAAGCTTTATCATTTTTCATGAAGATTGACGGTATGAGGAAAATCAACAAAGATAATGGGGCAAACACCAGTAAAGCAACACCAATAATAAAAGGGTCTAAAGAATTGAAAAGCTTAGAGTGTGGAAGCAATTTCAGAAGCAATGGCACAAGAAGCAAAGGGGGATATATCGTTCCAAGTTCCCAATGACAGTGAAGATAATCACATGGAATGTGAGAGGCCTTAACTAAGCAAACAAGAGGTGTGTTATCAAAACTCTAATTCATGAATGGAAATCAGATGTGTATTGCTTCCAAGAAACTAAGATTGAGGGGTATAACAGTAACATTGTAAAAGATTTGTGGGCTAATAGAGGAGTAAAGTTCTGTCAACTTGAAGCTAGTGGGACTAGAGGGGGCATTCTAATTCTATGGGGTGGGAAAGTCTGGGAGGGAGCTATTAGCAGTATAGGAGCCTATTCTATATCCTGCCAGTTTCTAGGCAAGAATCAAGAATTCACCTGGCTCCTGACCGGTGTCTATGCTCCTAACAATAGAGAAGAAAGAGAAAAAGTCTGGTGGGAGGTTGGATCAACGAAAGGTCTGGTCAATGGGCCTTGGGTGGTTTGTAGAGACTTTAACACAGTCCGATATCCTTCAGAGAAGAAGAACTACGGCAGAATATCAAAAGCAATGAACGATTTTTCTGAATTCATTATGGACCTGAATCTATTGGATCCTCAACTAGCAGGTGGTAAATATACTTGGAGGAAAGGGGACAGACATGATGTTGCGGCTAGATTAGACAGATTCCTAGTGTCTAATGAATGGGATGAAGTCTTCAAAAAAATTAAGCAATCAGTTCTACCGAAAGTAACATCTAATCACACTCTGATTATGTTGCAATGTGGGAACTGGGAGCTTGCGAAATCTTATTTCAAATAAAAAAATTGGTGGTTACACACAGAGGGTTTCTTGGAAAGGGTCAAGGAGTGGTGGACTTCCTTAACATGTGAAGGAAGACCTGACTTTATTCTAGCTTTCAAACTAAAGGCTTTAAAAAACAAACTAAGGGACTGGAGCAAGTCTGGTCAGGGAAATCTAGCCTTGCAAAAACAGAGTATACTCAGTCAACTTGCTGAACTTGAGGAAACACAGGACCAGAGAATTCTCAATGTGGAGGAGATACACTCGAAGGTTGAACTTCTCCTAGAGTTTGAGAACATTGCCAAGTATGAGGAGATATCATGGAGACAAAGGTCAAGGGTTAATTGGTTGAATCAAGGTGACAATAGCACTAAATTCTTCCATAGAACTGTCAATGCACACAAAAGGTATAACTCTATTGATGAGTTAAATGTGAATGGGGAAGCAGTCAAGAGTCCAGAAGTTATAAAGAAAGCGATAATGGATTTCTATCGGGAATTGTACACTGAAACTGAGACCTGGAGACCCTCAGACAATTGCAGGGGAGGACACATAATTTCTAAAGAAGATAATCTTATGCTTCAAAAGGAATTGGAGGACCAAGAGATATGGGAGAGTGTAAAGCTTTGTGCCGGAGACAAGGCACCTGGGCCTGATGGTTATACCATGACTTTCTTTACTCACTGTTGGGAAGTCATAAGAGGAGAATTTATTAATGTTGTTAAGAACTTCCACGAGAGATGTGTTTTTGAGAAAAGCTTCAATTCAACTTATGTTGCCTTGATTCCCAAAAAGATAGGTGCAAAGGAACTTAGCGACTTCAGACCAATCAGCCTAATTGGTAGTGTTTACAAGATAATTTCTAAGCTTCTTACTGAGAGACTCAAAAAGGTGATGCATAAACTAGTGGACACTCAACAGTTGGCCTTCATTAAAGGTAGGTAAATAATGGATGTCATCCTCATGGCAAACGAGTGTGTGGATTCTAGAACCAGAAGCAATGCTCCAGGAATTCTTTGCAAGCTGGACATACAGAAGGCATAATGATCACCTAAATTGGCAGTTTTTGTGGGAAACTCTTGATAAAAGAGGTTTTGGTGGTAGATGGCTAAGATGGATGAAATTTTGCATTCAAACTGTCAAATATTCAGTTCTTATCAATGGCTCACCTACAGGCTTCTTCTCTGCTCAAAGAGGCCTAAGGCAGGGTGACCCTCTATCACCTTTTCTATTCATCATTGCAATGGAAGGGCTAAGTGATATGTTGAAAACTGCTCGAGAGAACCTTTGGTTAAAAGGATTCAAAATATCAAACAAAGTGGGATGCGAACTTGAGATCACCCATTTACAATATGCAGATGATACTCTCATATTTTTTTGATTCCAATAAAGAACAACTCAGAATGCTAAGGGTGATTTTTATTCTCTTTGAAGCTGTATCAGGACTTTATATAAATTGGAATAAGAGGTTCTTATATCCAGTTAATGTAGTTCCTGACCTATTCTCTCTGGCTAGGACCCTTGGTGGAAGAATTGGTGACTCCCTACGACTTATCTGGGGATGCCTCTGGGAGCTAACAATAGGTCTTTAGGTATTTGGAATGGGGTGATTGAAAAGTGTGAAAGAAGATTAGTGAATTGGAAGTGCCAATATCTTTCCCTAGGGGGAAGACTAACACTCATTAATAGTGTCTTGGATTCTATGCCTAGTTATATAATGTCCCTTTTCCCTATCCCTGATGGAGTAATTGATAGGTTGGATGCTCTAAGAAGGAACTTTCTATGGGAAGGCAACAACGAGACAAAAAATTTCACTTG